TAAAATATATCCGAATATAAGTGGGGGGGGTTGAATAACATCGCTCATTTGTACACTGTCGTGGTGAGCAGTTGTCAAACAACCCGAAAAAGACGTGATACAGCCCTAAGAGCTGCCGAAAATTCCAAAGTGAATCAGGAACTATGGACCACATGTGTCAATTTCCGAACAGTCTCGAGCTTCCTCCCTGGATAAACTTAATACTTGAGCGTTTCTTCACTGTTTGAAAACCACTAATCACATTTGTTTGGTACCTTCCAGTAAGATCGTTGAGGAAGATGGATTTGTTATTAAGCCAGTCCAGTCTATCGGAACAAGACCATTTGCTATTCGACCGGGTAGTCCACCTGACCGTCTACCTGATGAGGAAATCTGGTGTCACTTTAAGTTTGTCAACATACCTCTAATTCGTGACGCAATGTCAACAATGTTTTTGGGGAAAGGAAAGACTCACGTAAGTCTATTGGCGTAGCTCACGATAACGGATGCTTCATAGTTGGAATAGGCAGAGTGAAATTCGTCTGGAAAGCTGGAGGGATAACAGAAGCGGACAATAGAAACGTAATGAAACTAACTCTGTGCTCAAAAGTAACCCACTATTCCAATCTAATTCGGTCAGACCCCAGACGTCAGATTCGAAAATGTTCCATCCTGTATTATATTAGCTATATTTGGGTAAGTTTCGAATTTGTACGGGAAACAGACCACGAATGGTTTGCATGAAAGATTAAGTCAATCTTCACAGCGGTGATCTTGTTGAAGCAGTGCCTGTTAGCGCCGAAGCGTGTTATCCTTCGATTCAAAAAAGTATCCAAAGTATTATTGTGGCTCGATGAAAAATGGATTCTCTCTGTCGACAATCGGATGGTCAGAAATTGGTGGAAACCCGGAAGGGTGGAATTTCCCTCACAAAAAAGGCACACAGGAAGTTTACAAGGATTCCACCGCGAATCAACTGAATTTCAAATAGAATTTTGGCCCCAGGTAGTTACAAGCGAGTACACGGTGCAACCGGGTTGTCTGGCTTGTGTGAAGGGTTTGGAGACATGGTTCCACCTACGGGGATTCAACGATAACATCACAAGACCAAAAACTGAACGAAGATAATCACATTCCGAAATGATGCCATGTGATATCCGGTTTGTGTATGCCAGTTTTCGAAGGAAGACCGAATTCCACTACATCGAGCCATGTATGGGGTCACACACCGCCTACGATTGGTGTGAAGGCGTATTCCAGCTAACCTTCACACTTCTTGGCCAACATCACAATCGATTTTTGGAGGGACATCATCATCACTCGGTACGTGACTTGTGCGCGACCGAACATCTGACGAGAATGTTACTTCATTACCATATGTTGTGTATGTGATCGACTTCAACGGTGACATTCGTTGCGATGATCTATGCAGGCAGGATATCGGGATACGGAAATTTGAAGTCTAAAAACAAAGTGGCTGAAACCCGAAAATGATTTAAACAGAACAAGCAAATGAACTAACCGATATGAGAGGACAAACAAGGCAGACAAACAATAAAGCTTTCAAATAAGTCATGGTTGTACGTCAGTGAAGCATCGGTGTTGAACACTGATGTCATGCTGTCGATGATGATGATGACTCCGAAGTAGCAATCTGTTTCGTTCCGATGTTTGTACACCAGCCCACCAGAGCTAGGAGAAACTACACTTCACTTCCACAACTTTAAAGTTTGAAGTTAATTGCCGAAACAGTTCGGTACGGTTCCTTTGGGACAAGAAACAGACACCGGCAACCCAATCGATCACACACCTAACAGTATGGCTCAAGTTACGCTATTGTAGGGGCAGGTTTCAGGTCCAAGTATTAAATAACCGTACTAGTAGCAATTATAAATCTGCAAAGAACAACTAACAAAATCATCAGCATTCCAACGAAAGAAAAAAGAAAACAACAATGTGTCATTTGGGAATTTTTGGTTGCTGAACCATTTCACTCGAGTTACATAATCACAGGGAGGTCATTACAAAGTGAGAAAGTGTAAATGCAGAGTGGAACGTACTTCGATAAGTGATTGAGTAGGAGGACAAACAAAGGGTCATTCAGCGTGGTTTCATTTGGCGGTTCGGGTAGATTGTTCAGACGATGTAAGAGATCCGATTCAGTTCCAGAACTTGTGAGGGATCGTGAAGAGTGAACCAAACCGGCTTTCAAGGCGCGTTCTTCAAGGCTATGGTGGGGAGATGGAAGCACACGATGGTGTGACAGTCATAGGCATCGAATAATACTATCCTAGCGCATGGTCCACTTCCAGCCATAAGAGCTAAGGGAGATATAAGGTGGTGCGATCCCGGAAGAGGCCGTTTGCCAACTGTAGTTGGTGAGTTCCATCCATTCGAATGAGTTGCCGTAAGTGCGTGTGAGCACACATTCATATAAACTGTTGGAAAATCGCCAAGTTTCTGTCCGCTCTCAGAGGGTGCCCGTTCGGAGGAACGCCACCTTATATAGTCACACACTATACCGACTACCACACTTACACCTACTATAAGTACATACCGAGCCCCAGTGAGTGCCCAATAGGAGTGGGCGGTTGAGCTCGGCTACTCACAATAAGGATCTAACATAGTACTGTGGGGAAGCATGTGAATTTATTCGAATCCTTGCTATCTGCCCCTCGGTGTAAGTTATCTCGGTTACGCATAAGCCAAAGACCGTCGTTTATCCAAAACAGTCACGGCGGTAGTGTCGTCTCCAGATTCGCGGTTACCGAACGGAGAAAAGACGATTTGTACCGAGGACAAGTCTGTCTGGAGTGGTAGATGTGGATAAATATGTGCATATGTGTATGCACTGTGATAGAAGATACTGTCAAGATTTGAAGGATAATTTTCTGATAAATTCAGCTTCTGTTGTCGTAAGTAGGCCGTCGCCCAAACAATCAGACAGCTACGACCAAGTCAACGGCACACACCATAACAACATGCTGGCCCGTTACGTCAAGTAGTGCCTCAAGTAGGCTGCCATGTCGATAACACTGACGTCATTGAATGACTGGTGAAAAGCCTGTGGTGTCGTTGGGACGTTGCCGCAGAAGCAAACACGGATAAATCATGCAGCGAAATACTCATTGACCTAAAGTGCAGTTCACTCTTGTCATGACGTCACCAAAGCGCTAGAGGGGATGCGGTAACGAAACTGCGTCAGAAGAAACTGCAAGACCGCTTCAGACTCAGCTGATTTACTTTACATCCAACGACTCATCGTTTCATTCATCATTCTGCATGGAACTAAGCGGGTGGGATGAGGCTCCCACCGTCGCCAGTTGTTGTGACTTGGTGGACAATCGTGCAACTCTGTATCAATCCCTTGGCTTTCTGCTCCGCCCACTATGGTATATCAAAAGGGACGATAGCTCTACACAGCCCTTTATGGAGGCAAAAGGAGAATCATTACGTCTGCATTTATAGGGTAGTCACAGAGTGTTCCAGAGTGCCAGAATCTCCGTGTGAGGGCGAGAAGCGTCGAGTCAAAGATGCTTGACTCGGATTGGTTGGCATTCTGACCAATCAGGGTATGCCTTCGTTTGGCCCGTGTCCTGCACGTGACACTTCCGTCCAAATGATGTGGTGTTCAGTTATTAGGGATGGCTGGCCTCCGAACAAACACTCTGTGACTACCCTATAAATACAGTTGTAATGATTTTCCTTGGTCTCCATGAAGGGCTGTGTAGAGCTGCCGTGCCTTTGATACATCATAGTGGGCGGAGCAGGAAACCAAGGGATCGATGCAGAGTTGCACTACCGTTCAGCAAGATGCAACAGTGTTCCACAAGGTCATGCCAGAAAATTTCGTGAGGGGGCGAGAAGCGTCCAGTCAAAGATGCTCGACTCGGATTGGCTGGCATTCTGATCAATCAGAGGATGCCTTCGTCTGGTCCGTGTCCTGCACGTGACACATCCGTCCAAATGATGTGACGTTCGGTTATTAGGGACGGCTGCCCTCCGAACAGTCAACCTGGCAGTACCTCAGCACTTGTGGTTCCTCCGGGAGGGAACGGCAGCTATGCACTCAGTAGGTGGTACAGCTGAACGATTATTATTATTTACTATGTACATGAGTCTATATCGTGCCGCGACGGTTCGAATTGAATCTATCCTAGTCTAGGGACCCTGATTTTAAGCATTATAGCGTAGCAACAAAATCTTGTGACGATGTATACTTGAAGATCACTATAATTATCCAATTTTTACTGGTTCCCCTATGACGACCAGGTGAAGTAAAGTAATAACGAGTCGCTTTCCTCGTTCCCTCCATCCATCCGCCATCCGGGCAGCCCATGTAGCCTCAACAGTTCAAAGTCTTTCTCGCGTCAGCAATGTTGGCTGCCGGTTCCGACGTACAGCTCGATTCGCCTTGACTTTTGTACACATCCACAAGCACAGTTAATTTATGATAATGTAAGACATTTATTATGGCTTGTTAGCGGCGAAGCCAAACGACGGCGGGACGTCACGTCGTCCACTTAGACAGCCTATGTACACGAGTCACACGTTCCATCAGGAATAATCAACCGAATAATTGCAAATACCGACTGGTCAGTAACCACGGAAAACATGCTACAAACTAGGGCCAGCGACCGAAACCGCCGCAGGAGTGGTGTAGAAGTGACGGGGGAATTCAACAACAAACGGTAGCAGCTACAATGTCATTGCCATCCTAAAGGAAAATACGAATCAGTGAACATGGATTCGATGGCGCGTAATGAACATCCAGAGTGATGGTACGATGAGCGTATGACCTGAGCCACATGTACGACGTACCTGCAAAGACGGGCATGACAGTACTGCAATCCCAAACCAGACAAGTCAGAATTGTCATTATTGGGCGTACTATCAGCATTCGTATCGGAGACGACCGAATAGCCCAGGAAAGACTCCAAATAGATTGGCTTTTGACGACTCTTTCGAAGCATCTCAATAACTAGACAAGTGGTACCCAGCTGATCGGCAACCCCATCGATTGAGTCGGTTTTGGAAATCCGGGTCGCTATAATGAAAACGAATGAAGCGATTAACAAAGTAAATGTTTGCAGGACACTACTGACGAAAATCGAAGAGTTCAAAAAGGGCAAAGGGGACATGGAAAACACCCGTTTCATTCTAATATATTGACTATAAGAGCGACTGTGAAAGTGTCTGTGATCAGTACTTCATGTATTACTAAAGCCTTGGTCGAACCGGTGTGGATTTAGCGAGAACACATGCCACAGGTAGTCGACCTCCTACGAGAGCCCAGAAATCGTAAACTGCTCCCTCTCGCGACATCAAGTACATCTTCAACAGGGAAGAGGTAAAAGAGAAAAGTTTCCGAAACAATGGGTAAATTGAGTTCAGGACTATGTTTCACCCACCAGGGTCTGGGACGATGAACTCCTAAGCGGTTTCAAGCGTCTTCCAAACGACTGGGGTGGGTCCAAAACGTTGACGGTTATTCTGTTAGATAAGTCAAACCGGGAGAGTGGTTAGTGCAAATACTTATTCAGTTGGTTCACAGAAGGAAAGATAGGAGTGATAACTTCCGCATCAATGATGAAATGAGAAAAGAAACGGGAGTTAGAATTTCACCTCAATTATCCAACAAGGAAGAAAGTAATGTGTACGAGATTAGCGAATATGCACTCATTTGCAAACTAATTTGGTTTTTCAGCAACCTTATAAGTAGTACATTACAAACATAATGTGTACGAGATTTAAGTGCCGAAAACAAAGCAGCAACTAGTCCAGTAACTCTTGTAGCTGTCATTAGCTTGCTGTGCCGTTCACATTGCGTGCACGCCACAAACCGTGGTGATTTTAATCAGCCGGACGCTTCCAGCTGACCTAGTTTGACGCTGATTGGCCGTTATCGCGACCAAGCGGTGAGCGCTTGCATTTGATCTGTAGCTGATTCGCCACATATGAACCCAAGCAAAGTGGTATGCGGTTTGGCCGAGTAGCAAGTTTGTAGAAACTGACAAAACTGCGCTAATGTGAGTGATGGTGCAGAGCCCGATAGGTAAGGTTTGTTCAAAATGCCACTTGATCACTGGATCGCAGCAGTGCGAGAGAGAGATCGTGCAAACGCAGATGCGCATTCTTACGGTAACTCTTCGACTACAAAGGAGCACAAAACAGCCAGCTAGGCCCCTGCATGTGGCAGTCGTCACAGAGTTTCGAATCATCCTTGATTTCTCCCGTCCCGATAGTCATTCGGGTAAGCCTCTACTTGGATGTGGATTGACCAGAATGATTTCAGACTGTTCAAAATTAGACTGATGTGAATACAACTATTCAGCAGTCAAAAGACTGCCCGAATGCTCGAAGATCAGCGACCAACTACTACTAACCAGACTTAGGTGCGGAGAATGTAGCAGAATTGGTCAGTTGTGCTCACGTACCTGGGTGTCAAGAAAACATTCGAGCCCGTAACCACGCGCCTAGCAGTTGAAGACTAAACCGCCCGGTAATCAGCTGGTGATCGGCAGTATGATTAACTCGTGGCCGGACGATGTAGTCTTCAACTGTTAGCTAGAGGGCCCTGATAGAAATCTCCTTGAAAGTTTGTTCCCCATAAGGCTTTTCGGCTGAGACTGGTTTCAACTCTCAATTGAAAGTTTCAAATCTCCTTATTCAATCCGCGGGTACACATACTGCCGAGTAGAAACTTGTAGGCACCGAGGGCCAAAACAGCAAACAATCTTTGACAGGATACCGTGATTGTAACAAAACCCATAGTGAGCTGTTGCCAGAGGGATGAGGACTGTCGAACTCATCAGGAAAAACTGCAAAAGTTTTTGTTACCTTGGGAAATAGTGGTAACACCTACTTGGTGAATAATCCATGCGCTTGAGGACGGTCTGACGGGCATTGTTTAGTATGTCAGACAGGAAGAGACCTTCTCCACGCCGCGTACTGACGCCTTGGATTCGACCGAAGGGAATGTGCAGATCAGCAGGGGCCCAATCATGCTCATCCAAGTCACTGGTCGAGGCGAAAAGGAGAGGATCGGCAGGATGGTCAAAACCAACGAATTATCGGTTTTTGAAAGCAGAAAAACGGCGGAGCAATTTTAGCCTGTCTGAGAACAAGGTGAGCAGAGTCCAGTCGATCAAAAGGTAAGAAAGGAGGTGGACGTGAATATGCTCCTGAGGCCGACCTGAAGGCATAACAGTTACGACAGCAAAAAGAACATCCTTTCATAGATGTTTTGTGTGGCCATGCATCTGGTTATCCGTATTTGGTCATAGTAGAAACGTGTTCAGTATGGTACAGTGCATGCCAAGCAGGATCAAGTTAATTGTATTCAGTCGAAAAGTTAAGTTAATACAGCCGAACTGTCTAAAACACAGTGATACATTGAAAAAGAAGGAATAGAAAAATCTACCAGATAAGTTCGAAAACTCCATAACGTTACTTGTCGGTGCAAATGCCACAGTGCTGAGGTGGTTCAACTGCCATAAAGACATAGCCCAGTGTGTTTTGTATAACCATGACTGCGATGTATGTATGGCCAGTAAGTGTTGGTCAGTCTTTAGAATCTAAGGCGTAGAATTAAAAAAGGGAAAGGAACGTACCTACTCTTTTGTGCCCAACTGTAACCCATTCGAGACAAGATATGTTGAAGCTGTTTGAAATGCAGGCGCTGTCCGTCTTCCACCTGGAGAAGTGCAAATGCCGGAACAAGCAAATCAGGACGATACGACGGAAAGACCATCGGTAGTGACGGCAGTGCCTTGTTTTAATCTCTAAACCATGTGGTAACTACGGATCTGAGAAAGCTCATTGGGTAAGGAGTGAAACCATTGACTAGAGGATTCGTGGTTCGAACTCGACCCTGGCATTCCAATTGTTCCAGTATAGACCTAGGTAACCTGGTAGGATAGAAGCACTCAAGCTGCACGTTGGGGAAGGATGTCACAGCCGAACAATCATTTTATTTTGTTAAGGGAAAATGAAAACGTTTGACGATAATCTATCTAGGGGTGTCATCGAGTAGTCTGGTGTAGACAACGGAAAAGACAGCAACAGCGCGCCTCTTGACGGTAGATCACTCGTCCAAGATAACCCAGTAATCATCTGTTACCAATGGGAGACCACCCCTAGTAGTAACAAGGATTACCAAAATGGGCTGGAGTTAAACTGATTTCTCCCTACAACGATCACATAAGCGCAGCTTGCTTGCTACGTGTAATGTGTCCAGGGTTAGTACGTCTTTCAAATAAGGCTCGGTGATCAAGGTTAGGTTGATTTAGGCTGCACATTGCTTAGGAACGGTAGCAACGCGCTACAGTAAGACAAAACTGGTTGTTCATGGTGCTTGTAGAGGGAGAGTTTCGAGATTCTTATGTGAACGATTCTCGTGTTTATTTTACTTACAGGAGTCAACGAAGCAGATGTGGGAACGGCACAAACAGAAAGCAACTTTATGGACGTAATACACTACTCATAAGGTTGCTGAAAATTCTTTGACAGCCTACGACCAGTTTCGCCCTTCTTGGACAAACAACTGTGTAATGAATGCCTAGCGCTAAAGCTGAATTTGCTGGTTCCGATAACGCGCTTCAGGCTATGTTTATTCTTTAACAGTACAATATTTTGGAAAGTGAAGGTTCTATAGATGATCTCCGGTAGCTTCCACGGGCCAACTCTTGAAGCTTGAAGATAGAGATGCTACTGTGCTATTTTTAGCTCGTCTGCTAGTGTGCTAGTGCCCACTCTGCGGCTCGACCCGGGACAAACCGGATGCTTAAATGCCTCTGCGTACCGATTGCTGTAATGGGTCACATGGGGGGGTGCTACGGATGTACCATGGAACACCAGTTAAGTAACTTATTGCAAAACAAACATGTGTAGCTGTTACCAGTCTACAGTGAGTGTTCAGCTGTAACACCCAATCGGTACATAGATGCCATGTCACCCAAGGTAGGCACGAGGGCTCAAATACTGCCAAGTTACCTATTCCTAGAGAGGAGCAGTCGAGATTTCGCGCGTGGGTTCGAACCACAGACTATCCGGTTAGTCGCACCCCAGTAACAATGATGATGAACGATGGTAGGCCGTATCAGCTTTGGAAGAATCCTTCAGCTTGTGCTTTAAAGAAGCTCATCTGCAGTTCAATCGCACAACATATGCGGTGAGTCTTCGGTATACCTTGTGAGACAGGTCACAGTTAGAACTGAAATGTAAGCCTATGGCTATAGCATGATTGGATTTTCGTTACCGAAATCGTATGGATTAAAGAACTGCATGTGCGATCACCCACCAGAAATGAGTCAATAAAGACTTCATACTGCATTGTACCTTGCTTCTTCTACGATTCGTACAAAACTACTTATGAGAGTTATGAAAACACCGGCTCCGCTCTTGTTGAGATGTATCGGATAAGTGCAGTTGTCATTAATCTCATTTCTTATTTAAAGAAAGCGCACTGGCTGCTCAAACTCACCACATAGTGAATCCGGTCAAACTGATATCGTTCGTGTCTGGAGATGGCAGCAGCAAGGTCTCTAAAACCATAAAAAACGGATGTTGGGTTCCATATATGGGAAGAAAGTGGTTGTACATGTCTTATTCGACTGAACAGATAAGCTAATAAATTTCTACCATCAAAGGGGCCTTACGAGGTCGGACCACAAATGGCCAAGATAACCCAATAACAATATGTAGGAAGTACTGTCGGACAAATTGTCAAGCTAGAGCGGCCATCGGTGGGTTATCATCCGAAGACATGTTACTATAGATTGTATTCTGTGTTCTTTATATTGCTACAGTTATAAGAAAGCCAAAATGAAAAATTCATAACCTAATGGAACTACTCGAACCGATCCTCGCAAGCCTAGTCCATAACAGTGACAAATAGGGCCGTTGATGACCATTGCAGAGAATACAGTTATTTGTAGTATAAATACAGTTTTACCGTTCTCATTTTGTTCCATTTTATGCCGTATCAGATTACCACATGTTCTGATACAGCGGGCGGTGTAGTAAGCCAAAGACTAGTACATAAGCTGCATAATGCAAGCAACCAGTCCATAAAAAGGAGAGCACCTATGAGTAACAGCAAGTACAGACCGTGTACGGGTTGCACAATGGTTCAGGTAGCTCCAATCTCGGTCAGTTTCAGTTTTTTAGCGCACAAACCGAGAACCGGAGTACAGTGGCTCTAGTTGCTACAGCTTCGTTCACCGAGTATAAGGACACTAACAGAAAGAAAGCCAAACGTTGGAGACGATGGCCTAAGCTGTGTATTGACGACAAATAGATCTGCTTGTCCGTGAAGTCAGAGCTGCGCAGTGAAGGCGATAGCCCTGATGTAAGATCACCATTGATTTCCCTCGTTCCGCGGTCCCATCTACGGAGATTCCAGTTACCAAAGCGACAGAATTGACTGGTGAGAACTTCCACGCTTCATTACCAAGTATTGGACCGAACGACTTTCGGCCGTCTCCATTCGACATAAGGCTTATGGACGAGGGCGAATGGTCCTCTGGTATATGAAGCACACGGCCTAGCCAGCATAAACTGTGTCAACTAATCCATCAAAATAGAAATAGTGGGCTTTCCCGAAGACTGTCTGGTGCCCCTCAGCGGTATTGATTTTATGTTCCCACCAGACACGCGCAACATTCCGGAGGCATCGATGGTCAAAAACAGTCTCTGCAAGCAGTGGTCACGTCCTTGTTCTAGAAAAAATAGCACATATAAAACTGCGGTATTGTAAACTCTGCCCCTGACAGCCAAGTTGACGTCACGTCGATACCGGAAATGTCGGAAGTTGACAAATGCAGCCCTGGCCTTCCCAGTTCGAGAAGTGATTTCGTCACTCGTCAGTCCGCCGGGACTCATACAGCTGCCAAGGCAGACGAACTTATCCATCAAACCGATCGGTTCACTCGTCCGGTAACACTTGACACTTTACAGGTGTGAAGCGCATACCGAACTGTGTTGCAGGATTACTTGGATTGTGTAAACTAATTTGAAATTCTGAAGGGTCTGATCCAAGGAAGGCAATAGCATCGGTGTACTCAACGTCCGTGTGCGAAAACCCGGGGAATATTTCGATCGCCGAGATGTTAAAGGCAAGTAAGAGAGATCCAAGCATCACATCGATTATGAGGTTAAAGAGGAACGGCGATAGACGGCACCCCTGCCTGACAGCACTGGATCTGGTGAACTCAGTAGGGAATTTGCCGTAGACACGTCCGCGGGAAGAGACAGGACTTTGGAATGGACGCCCTTAATTGCCAGACACTGCCACGGTTTCCGACGACCGTCAGAATCAAAAGCAGATCTGCGCCATCTGGGGGAGATGGCCCAAGTAGCTAGAGCACGAATTAATAGACACGTCCGCGGGAATAAACAGGAATTTGGAATGGACGCCCTCAATTGCCAGACATTGCCACGGTTTCCGACGACCGTCAGAACCAAAAGCAGATCTGCGCCATCTGGGCGAGATGGCCCAAGTAGCTAGAGCACGAATTTACTGACCAGAAGGTCCGCAGTTCAAACCCGACCTCTGCCTCTCGACTTTCCCTGCCTAGGCTTGAGCAGCCTGGCAATATCCCAGCCCTCGTGAAACCTTCAGGAGGAATGGCAGTTAGGCACTGAAAAGGTACTACAGCTGAACGATTTGCTTTGTATTTTAGATTTGAAAACGAGAAAAATAATCATTGTTCGTCATCGGGAGGAGTGGCGCAGCATCTATCACAGGGTGGAAATATGATCTATACAACTCCCGTTCAGGGCGAGACCCAGCTTGATTTCCGTGAACCTGACTGTCCATATCATGGGTCAAGCATTGAAGAATAATACCAGAGGGCACCTTGGATACTATGGCGACCAGACTGATTCCTCCGGTTGTTCTTGCGAAATGTTTATACACTCTTTTTGAACGGGGGAATCACCGTCTTGGCGCTTCGTTGTTGTTATTCTTTATTCACTCCAGACACGTTGAAGTAAGGTCATCAGGGTATCCAGGAGGGACTGGTCACCTTCTTTGAAGAGTGCAGGATGCAAACCATCTGAATCAGGTGCCTTACTGAGTTGAAGCAGTGAAACTGCACACTGAACTTCCGTTGCCCACGACAGATTGGTACCGACGTTCCACTCGGATTCATTTGGATCTTCCAGAAATTGAGTTGATGAGGGCCAGCTGAACTGCTTTTCAAAGTGTTCAGCCCAAAGCCAAGACACCGATTTCGTGAATGGATTGAGATTCCGGAAGTATTCTCACGAACGGGCGACACACGAGACTCTCGGCTGAATCTCTTAGCTCTTCAACAAAATGTGTTGCACAAAGACTGTCTGAATTTTCACTCAGAACAAGATATCGAAGTATTTTTCTTGATGGAAACTCCTGGACAGCGAACTACCAGTTCCGCCGTATTTGGGAATCGTTATCGACAGCCGTAACAACAATGTTCACTCGCACATGAATTCTCTTTAGCACTAAACGAAACTGTTGGAAATTCATGGACTGGGTCTACCTGACGAGCCTTAAAAAAAGCAAGACCAAAGTTCTGACTAACCTTATAAGCAGTGTCACCAAGAGGAACACATCAAACTATTGTATAGAAGTAACGCACTACTCATACGGTTGCTGAACACTACCGGTTTCATGAGTGGTGCATTACGTCTATATTATGTATTGCGATACTGGCATATCGTACCAACTGAGACATGGGGCGGCCTGGAGCAGCTGAACAAGAACATTATAAACCAGAGATTTAGTTGGGTCTCCCGTAAAAACCAAAGTGATATTCAAATTAGAGTATTTCGCTACATCAAACTATGCTTGCATAGGTGAAAAATAAGGTGCAGATTACCTGGTTAGATACAGCGTGGATCTGTTACTCTTCAAAAGCACAATACGTTGAGGCACGCCTTCGAACGTCCCCGCGGGAATACAGGTAACACCATCACTGAAAGGGCAACAATGAAAGTCGCATAAACAATGATTCACATAAGTAACCTTGAAGCAGTTTATGCTTCGACACATCTGTGTTGCGGATTCGGCAGCCATTCCTGGACCTAGAAGATTCGATTTTATGAAACCTTTCAAACATTAGGACAACATTTGTTGACAGGAATTGTCACCACTATTCGTAAGCGGCTCTGTTTGCTCAGATTCTACGAGTCAAGTCGCGGAGAAACCAAACGAAACAGGTCGCCCGCAGGACCAACAGTGGATCGCATTAATTCCTCAGTGCTCTGTTGATCACGAAACTCTTGCTGGAGGAGCGATATTCGGTGTAGCCTCGAGATAAAAAGCCAAACGTCAAGGGAGTCTATAAATTGATAGGCAATGAAACGAAATGATGTGCAAACTGTAGAACATACATGTTAAACTTTGAATCCCTCAGGCTGCAGTAGTGAGACGATCTGACTCTACCCACACTGGTTGAAATGTAATACATGAAGCGCACTTAGGAGCACACCACTTTTCTTGGGTCTCCTGAACATTTTAATTGTTGTGACAAAGACATCTAGAGCACTGGTGAGTACTGTCGGGGACGAATATCCAGATCTGAAGTCGAACTCATTTAAGTGGACTTTTCTTGAATACTCTGACACAGATAGGACGTTCTATTAGAAGCAACTTCGGTAGGTGATCAAGACAACCACATGGTTATTAGGTGTGACGGATACGAATCTCAAGAGCACTATTCGTGCAATTTTGCCCACTCCACTGCATGTGTACGGAAAACGTGGTCATCACACACACGTTCACGACAGTAGACCCGTCGTTTCCGGTTGGAGACGCGTCAAATAAAGGTCTTCACGTCATGAGGTAATGACGATATTTTGGTGACTGAGATGATAGCTACGTTTTAATAATGAAAGACTACGGATATGAGCCCTTCGTTGGAATTGAAAGAGGGATTGCAGCCAACTAGTGTCCAGATGTGCGAGTGGGCTCTATGCCTTCCTCTTGGAATGGCCAGTTGAGTTTTTCAATACGTGATTTGCACAACAGACCGATATGAAACCGCTGATGAAATCTCGACTATGGAAGCTCGGTCTTACTTTTCACGAGTTATGTCATTGGTAAATTAATTCGGCGGTGTCATCCAAAGTAGACTGTCTTTCTACACCACAGACCAGTTGGTAAATTTTTTGGTTGTACGGCAATGAAGCATCAGCGTCAAGAATGATGTTGCTGCCTCTGATGATGATGATGACAGACCATATCACTTCATCCACTTATGATGCAGTCCATTTTGTTTTGACCACTGCCACAGTTCATCCAGTCAGATTTTCTCATTTTACATATGACGTGTACTGCTGATCCGAAAAAATAAGCAGACGTAATCGGTCAAATAGAAGGCCATTGAAACCGACCTGAAGCAAGAAGCAGTCTTCTTTCCACCTCATCAGAGAGCTTTCTTATTCCATGATCCTCCTTTGGCACACTGTATGTATGCTTACAATACATAATATAAAAATCGTTCACCAGTATCACCCTTCCGGTGCCTAGCTGCCATGCCACCCGAAGGAAGTACGAGGACCTAGATACTACCAGGTTTCCCAAGGCTAGACAAGACCAGTCGAGATGCAGAGGTCGGTTTAGAAACACGGGACTTCCGGTCAGCAATTTCCCGCTTTAACCACTAAGCCATCTTGATAATGATTCATAACGTACGATCGAACATCACACATTCAACACATGAGTTGTATGCCTAAATGTTCCACAGTAATCAGTAGTAAAGACGGCTGTATTAAGGGATCCGTCGTCACCCACTATTTCTAACAACACTTCGAGTCTCTCGCGATAGACTGATTTACGGGAGTTTAAATCCGAAGATCATCTCATGTGGTTATGGGCTCAGAGGAAAGCATACCAAATTTCATTGTTCTAACCGTTGGGATAACCGTTAGATTCCGCAGCAGTGGGGTGTCTGGATTTCGCGTTGTCTTCGTCATCCTCTTGCAGGAACATCGGTAGCGTTTGTGGGTCACAGGTAACAGGGGTGAAAAATGTGGTCAATGTGGACTCTTACCCAAAAGACTGATACAACTTTCGGGCTCAAGAGTCGCGAGTTCCCCAAAGCAACTGATTTGCTTAAAACCAATGGAACATATCTTACAGGCTACGACCGCTGACGCAATAGGAGAAACCGCACTCTAACAGAAGAACTGAACCTGCGCTACAGATGCCAACCGAAAAAGAACTGAACCTGCGCTACAGATGCCAACCAAAACTAAAAAACTTAATTGTCTGACGTGGAAAAAAATTCTTACGCACGATGATGTATACGCGTGGAACAGCAATTGCTCGATCCAGAAAGTAACACCAGTGATGGGATTGCACACTACGTTGCATTCTGTAGTATCCCAAGAGATAGCCACGGGGCACTCTCCCACAGAGTCTACAACAAGATTATCTGTCAGTTACGATTAAGTGAGCAATCTACCGAAGATAGGCTCATCCTAAACAACCGTCGCCAAGTACAGTCCTCATCTGAAAGCTAATTCACTGGAAAGTTTACACGCAGCTACGATTAGGTATGCAATTCCCCAAAGAGACGATACTCCTGAAAGGATTACTTTATTGAGTTTCAAACATCCGAACGAGCAGTGTACGAGTGATAATAGCTACAAGATTAAACGTCCCGCGCCCTGTAATGGTCAAACGGAATTCACAATGGAAATTTCGTTCCGCAAACTAAGCCAATATATTCTGAAAGACCGAAAAGGTCATTAATAGTGCGCCTCTAGAAAATCTTTGAAAGAACACGCGACCTCCAGCCTGGAAGATGGAGGTCATGTGGTCCACTGACGCGCGACTGATCGGTAATTTGATTGACTGTAAACTTTTCCAACGTGCAGGACAAACCTCTTACTGAAATCTATAAACCTCAGGCAATTGCCAAACAAGAGAATTCTGTTGGACAAAACTTTTGTCATACCTATCAACAATTGCCAGGCCCGAATCAACAAGACCTTGGGCAATGCGTAGTGCGGAATCCACATAATCCGACTCGTATTCGTAAGCTGAGAACTCCACGTTCATACGCTAAGAAAAAGGAGGAAAAAATTCATAAAACTTGTCAGTCACAATTCTGCTCCTTTTGAAAAAAAGCTCAGTAAATACGGCTAACAAAATGGGCTCCGGTGCTCTCCGAATATCAGGACTGTTCAGATTAGAGTGACGGGGACATTAACCCTACAGATCCCTCAACTATCCATGCAGCACACGTCATTTTGAAAAAGAATAACTACGGGAGATACGTTCGGATTCCAAAACGTTCGACGTCCCGTACATTTTAGGACACGTCGTCAGGATGAAGATAATCGGCCAGATAAATCATTGGCTAGAAGCGTCAGACTGTTGACTGGATGATGAGGCATCGCGAACCAGTCTTGAGCAGCTGGGGTAATCAACAGCTGGTCGGCGGTCAACTGAAAATATTCCCTACCCAGTCGACGATCCGTATACACGTACGAATCTGAGCAACAGGCGAGCTTAAGGGAAAGTTACCAAAGTGATCAGATCGGTTGACTTTCAATGCTATGACAAATCAATAAGCCGTGCTATATCCCGCCAAATTTCCAGTAACTCGTCCATTAAAATACGGATGTCTCACGAAATCGTTCGTTGCCAGCCGTGTAGTGTGTACCTTCATGCAAATGAAATTAACCAAGTTCCGTACAGTACAATTTAACCTAACTCGGTGTTGGCAGTAGCCCAGAAAGGGTTGCCGGTGAGGTAGCTCATTGTAGCGAAACTCATGTAGCGAGGATTTTGAAGTAAGACAAAGTGTTCGCTCAAAATCATGAGTTTCTATCAAGATTACAACCCAAAGACCGCATGAATACCATGACTTCAGCGGCGGGAAAACAAGATGGGCTTTAATTCTCCAATGTGGATATTAAGGCGACAGAAAACACCTCTGACAAAATGCCTGAACTACCTTATATGTTTGTTTCAAATGCTCCATGGTGAGGAGTCTGAAGCGACTCCATAGGTCACGATTGAATGCAGTCCCTTCGGAATCCACTCCATTAAGCTGCTCGGACCCCAGTTGAGCAGCTTCTGAGTTCATGCGAACATAAAGCTGGAATAGAACGAGGACATCGATTTAAATAAAGCACACTGTAACTTAATCTATGCAGAGTTTCTCTTATTGTGACGATTGGAAGAAGCCTCACCTTAACCCCTAGTTTAAAACAGTCATATCCATAAAGTTTCGCTGATCGAATTCTATAGGTCTAAACGGCAAGAACGAGGAGTGTTCAGATTGAAAAAAGACTGGTACTTTCAGTTGGTTTCACATTCTCAGAGTCGGGGTAGAAACTGTAACAACAAGCGACCTTTGGGAATGGTGAGTTAAATAAGCTGGAATGCATGCGAGTTGGATAGACAAAAATAAGAAATGAGGACCAGAAATACGGATATACAGCTTTTGTGTCATTTTAATGCGAAACTAATTACGCAAAGGCTCAAACCACCCTGGATTGGATCCGGTGCCTTGCAAATCTCGACTTGGCTTTGCGGATGGAACCTTCTGGAAGACAACGGATGGGAGGCTACTCAGCAGTTGTTTGGTGTCAGCCTTAAACTTTAGCATTACGTACTATTTGTCCACGTGTCAAATGACTCCTAGACACCGTGGGTCTCCCATGTACAGCTGGATTGCTTAATTCCCTCCTGAAAGATTGCGGATTTGAAGTTCCATAGACATGCGTGAAATGCGCAGCGTTAGTCACTCCAAACAGAGAATAAACAACTGCACTGTAGAACCTCCACCTGACAGACCTACTGTCCTCTGATGAGCCGGATCCTGCCTTTGATCCGTACTGGACGCCAATAGTCTCAAGATTTCGTTTGAATACAGACGAATCAATACCCCAGGAAACTACTTTTATGCGCAGGTCCAACCAGTGGAACCGAGTAAGTGGCAGTGGACAAATCAGATCCCCTTCCGAAATCCGCGGCCATAATGACCGATCTATCCACTACTACCCTCACAGGTTGCAGTTGGATATACAAAGGTTGGGGTCCTATCCCGGACCGCCACGTTGGGAGGTCGTAAGAGTTTCAGAGGAAGTTAAATGATGTATCCGAGTCCGAGATAGCTCAGTGATTAAAGCGTGAACTTAATGACCAGAATGTCCGTGGCTCGAACCCAACCTTTGCATCTCAATCACTCTTGTCTAGGCCTCGGCAACCTGCCAGGTATCCCAGCCCTCGCGCTTCCTTCGTGTAGCATGACAGCCAGGAACCAAATGATAATTATTATTACTACTACTAATTTATTCGGACATGAGACGGGCTCCTCTTCATGGAAATACAGATAAAGGGCTCAAATATACAGCTGGCTCCTAAAGGGAAATTCCGGGATACGCTACATCAAAATTTGCTTGGCTCAAAAGGCATGGTGCAGCCATACAACCGAGAATACTCCTAAATCAAGGAAGCGTGCGGTAACCTCAATCCGCGTTTCATGTCGTGAATCGGAGAGCCCATCGACTTTAATGCACAACTGTCCTATTGCGCCTATCCTCAAGCTGTAACAAGAGACGCCCCTGATTGTTTCTCGAGTTCCTGGAATTAAGCTGCTAAGCTAAAATTGCCACCAGAAATATTTTGGAGCAATATTTTTTACCTCCAAAAGCGAACGTACAAACCTGTAGTGATTTCTTGAATAGTCTTCCCGTCCCGGCACAGTTATTCTAGTGAGTCCATACGCAGTGCACACGGTTGGCCGTACTGGGATTCGAAACACGGAAATTGACATGCAAGGTGAACGCGTTAGCACTACCCCACTAGCTTATACCGGATGTACCTGAACTCTGTCCTAACGGGCGGACGCCCTCACGCTTGGAATATGTAAGTGGTCTGTCTAAGGGCTCGAAAGACGGCCCAAAAACTGGTCTGGTTGTACCGATCGACTAACTCGCTTGTTAGAAATTCTCAGCCAGGTAGCACTCGGAATAATTGAGGCCTAACGGAATTTGTATTCACATCACTCTGTTATGGTAACTGGTCAGAACAGTCTTTAGTACCCTAAAGCAAGTGAGAAGACTTCAATCAGAAATTGATCTATCGTTCAGGATCCCCTTTAAGAGAATCACATCAATCTGTCACGTCAGGAGCATCGTACTATGCCGTTCCTCCTAGTGTCAGTGGTAAACGGTTGACAGGGTCGACAAACAGGCTGACCTGACGTCCACTACTAGCTAACAGTCGCGGACATCATGCATAGCTGGAAAAGAATGATACCTCCAACTAACCAACGCCAATAAAAGTCCAGCAACTGACCAGTCAACCGAAGTCCATATGTAAAGAACATGCAACATAAGTCTACGGGCTGTACAGATAGCTCAGAGGTTGAGTCAAGCCCTTTGGTTTAAAACCACTTCTGGTATTTGAGTTGTTTCTGTATCAACGCTTGGTGGGCGCTTGGGATTTCTGGAGGCAGCTATCCATCAAGGGTTGGAACAAACAAAAAACGAGTTTGAGATTACAAAATTCATTATGAACATGCATGTTCAGAGGGCAACACTGACTGTTGGTATCCAAGCACTTAGTTAGTTCGCAACGTTGGTAATGAAAAAAATGAAGATAATAAACCTGAAGGACTACGTAGGTCAGCATGGTGAGTAGTGTGTTGAATAATTCCACATTATTGTCAGTTACCCAGCACAAACGGAATGATGAACGGGTGAGAAGGAGCTTCAAACAAAAACACTTCGAAAGATGAAGTTGTTTCCACCTGGCTCGTTAAGGTCGGAGTACCAGCTGGCCTACAGTTGCTTTACGGCAACGACAATGTGCTGCGATGTACGAGAATCTAAACGTCGATTGTTCGAAGATCAGTGTATTCACATGACCGAATCATTCCCAGTTGTATAAAGTTGCAAACACTGGTCAGTCGGGTGAATACCTTGTTCAAATACCGTAAGGGATCGGCCAAAAGTTGTTCCTCAACGCCGTATTTTTTCCAGCCTTGCGCAAGTAAATCTGCCGGGCAAAAGTGTACAGGAAGAGAAACATGAGGGATAGACCCTGAAGTTAAGTGGCTCGTGTTACCTGGTTGTACATCGTTATGTTAAGTAGTTGAAAGACTGCCATGTTGATATTCGAAAGGAGAATGTTAGGCAGCACAGAAGATTTATAGAATGAAATGAACTGATTACAGCAAGGCAGATGCGGGAGTAGGAACATTTACGTGCTTGGACAGGGGCAAAGGATAATCTTAGGGTCTACTTTTCAATCAAAGCTAACGGATACGATCATGAATCAAAATGAGATTTTTTAATCAAATGCCGATGAAAAATCACTGCATACGAGTTAGCGACGACAACATTCCACCTAATTTGCCCGTGTCCAGGGAAAAAGAATGAGACAAATGGAAAGTTAACCTTCCTTGGCATACCAATTATCCGCCATCTGAATGACAGTTTGCAACGTACTGTCCACCATAACACTTTTCTTCCATGGCATACAAGCAACGATTAGTCGAATTGCTTTTCAAAGGACGGCGGAACTGTGCAGCGACCCCCCCCCCCCAATTAGAGAATGAAGACTTACTGAAAAAACCCTGTGGCTAACGACTGCCCAAAATTCATCCACCTACATAGAAAACCAAACCTTCTGCCCAATCAAACCAACATGGCTAGGAAGAACAGTGATATGTCTAAATTTAAGGGCAATCAAACAGTATGACGAAAAAACACAGTCGGCTCCAAACCGCATAGAGCAGCTCGACTGCACCTGCTCTCGACAACCAGTTAAAAAAAAGATGAAATAGAACCCAGAATTGTAGTGATCATTCTGTCTAGAATGTCAGTCGCAGCTGCAATTTTCTTTTTCTAAATGTCAGATATGGATAAAAGCAAGTTAAACTTTTAACGTTTTATACCTCATGTCTGGTTGGTTCGAGGGAATAGACCAAAAAGACCCGTTTCAAAATTATCTTACAGTGAACTACTGAGAAATCTTTACCAGATGGGGATAATCACGGACTTGCGATCCTTATGGTAAAGAGGGTGACCAGTGGTGCTAGATAGATGTGGCATCACCATACCAGAAAGAACCACCACAAATCCCCTTAGTTCGGATGCCAGGCTGCTCCCCACAGAATAGTTTTGGAGTAGCGACATCGGAACCTCACCCCACAATGCTCGTGACTTTAACCCCGCCCCTTTTGTCATGCTGTTCGAGACTGACATGGTCTCTCCGTCCTCCAAAAAATGTTCATCTTCACCACTTCTTCATCGTCAGTTTGGTATCCAGCTTCGGATTGCCGGTATCTCCGTCTATCCGGACAAATATCAGTCACCAAATCGATTTGAGGCTCCTTTAACTTCCCTTCCCAAACACGTCAGTCCGACTAAACACGATAGTTTATATTTTTAGAGACTTACACGTCCACAATTCTTACCAGTTTTACTATCACTCACATATCAACCATGCAGGTCATGACCTTATTCAACCGCAGATATTCTTTACCGAGGAGACCGTTTTCAAACCGAGTAACTGATGATAACATTCTGAAGTCTTTTCCTCACCACTCGTTTCAATCTGAATGGTTCCTTGGAGGAGTGAACAGTCCTCGAAAAAGCCTCCCTTTCTGGCTGCCTAGTCGTAAGCACAAAAATGAATTTGAGACAGCTCAGTTGTGAAGGCACGATCTACTGGCCTGAAGTGCGAACCCAAACGGTTTCTAGATTGCTTTAGTTTACGCGTGAGCAAAACAGCGGCGACTCAACTTTCGCATCTACTTGGGGTTGAATGGCAGCTGTGCAGCCAGAGGGTGCCACATCCCAAAGATTTGATGTTACTTACTCTTTTTCGCCGCACAACAAGCCAAATTCCGAAATACAAAAAAGGCTAGTTTTTGTGTTTATTATTATACTTACCATATATACTCGTGTTGAACTTTGTATGTACATCTCAACTCATACAGTCTTGTGCTTGGACAAGTAAAACGTTGCTCATCCTCGAAAACCCGGACTTTGTTCTAACTCGTTCTCGTACACATTCTAAACGTCCCAGATTGACTCTACTGACGTGCCAACTAGATGTTCAGAAGTATTCTTATCATCAGTTACGTATATTCACAGAACATCAAAAATCGGATTCCAGATATCATCACTCCGGAGACGTATTTTGTGAGAACTGTGGTTCAGTGCACAAACGGGAGAAATTCCCTCCTATGACGGCCTAGTTCGTGCTTACAGAAAAAAAATCAACTATTGTGAAGTACCGGGATTACCGTGAGCTACCGAAATCCGGATGAACTACGGCACAACTAAACTGAGGATGGAAAAACCTCACAAGTGCGTGAAATAACTCACCGAATTGGGTGCCCCAGTCGCCCAGATAATTGATACCAATAACCTTGTGTCCAGCAGCTCGATGCAGATTACAAATAAAATTGCCTGTAACTGTGGCACGGAAATGTCCCAGATGGAAAGGCTTCGCAATGTTCGGAGAGCTAAGTAATCAACTGTGAAACTAACGACGATGCGCCAATACCTGAAGTCTACCAGCACAGTGCGCTGTCTCTCGGTACCAGCGAATGGAGAGAAAATACGTGTCAACGTAGAACCAGTATAATCGGAAAGGAGACGACATAACTGAGACTGGGTGAGTGGTAGAGTTTAGAGGAAAAACGAGTTACTTTTGCTGACATGGAAGTGAGGCAGTTAGCACAAAATCTATGCGCAATAAAGCATGTTCGGATGACACGAGTTCATCTGAAACGAAAAAGAAATCCGACCATAACATTAAATTCTGATGTTAATTATTGCGAAACAACAAGCGGGAAAATCAGCAGCAGCATCAGACTTCTCGTAATCTCTCTTTTACTCCTCTGTCAGGTCAGATGTTGCCCACCTCACTGCTTGCGCCACTCTGAATTGGGCAAGGAGAACGGCACGTTCCTCGGTAAACGATGGTGGCATGCCTAACCAACGCAGCTTATGGTGCTGGACAAACCCTCATATAGAATACCCTGTTGTACAACCGAAAACGCCTTCTAAGTGCCTCGTTAAGGATTCACCGACATCAGCCTAGACGAGCCACGGTTCCGAGAAAATGGCGGTCGAAGACCTGGGGACGGCTCAGTAACGGGGCACGTCTCATAGCCATACATGTCCTTTGAGATTCAAGATATACCAACGTGAAGTCATAAGTTTCAAATTAGTAAACACGACCCGAGTTTCCGAGATCCGTGTATTGACCTCATCCGTCAGGTTACAATCGGAATTAATTCAATCTCCAAGATACGTAAAACGCTCAGCAATTTTTGAATTCAGAGGTGCGTTCAGTGATTGCATGTTCAGGAGCCCGGTCTTACACTTTGTGGAAGCAAACCACGCGTTAAAAGACAGAGGGTCCTTCGTCAGTCAATCTAAAAACACCTGTGCCTTTCGGAGATGAGAACTGTCACCTGCACATTCCAGATCAACCTCTTCGTCAGCAGCTATTTGAATGCCGGAGTTTAGAAGACTTTCAAAAGTTCGCCTCGTTATCTTGTTCACAATGAAACTAAATAGGAATGGGGAAAGTACACTCCCTGACGGACACCGCTTTGTGTACAGAAGCCCATGGAGAGCTCACCGTATGCTTCCACACGCCAGAAAGTCTGAGAACACGAAGAACCTATTATGTTCACAAACTTCCGGAGCACTACTAGGCAGGTGTGTTATGGAGAACAGACCTGTCAACCGAGGGAATGTACCTTAGAAACGCAGGAATATTAAAATTGTGGGTAGTTTGTACGTATTCCGTAGGTCCACCACCTGACGGTGTGAAGATTTGGTCAACACAATCCATACTAGGCCGGAGCTCTGCTTGCTGTCCTAGAGTCTATTCTTCACGAGCAACTGTAATGCAATGAAGGGAGAACGACGCCAAGAGATTTAGTATGACTGGGTTAGAGCTGATTCGCCATGAGATTAGCAGATACATTACAGGGGGTCCTTTTTTAAAACAGGCACCACCACCCATTCTCCCCAATTGCCTGGGACGGTCTTTTCTCCCCCAGATGCAGGCAAATAGATCAGACTTGTGCTGACTGAAGACTCCACTCCTCTCTTGGAGCAATCCGGGAGGGGGGAATCTGAAGTACGGTCTCGGTGGTGTTTGAGAGGACGTGGGGGTTCGACGCTCCATTTAGGGTTCTACTTTAGTTGCAGGATCCAAATGAGTGGCATCAAATGGCCACTTGAATTGTTGTTCGAAGCACTCGCTCAGCGTTCGAGGCGTTATTGTTTATTCAAGATGGTCACACCAGCTTGATTCTTGATGGTTTCGCTCACACGCGGTTTCCGAGGGCTGGTTGCAAGGATCGACTGAAATGATCTTCGGGCATTCATAAGTTTATTCAACTCCCTTGGACTTCCATGTCCACCAGGCTTCACGATGGCATGCACGCTAAGTGTGACTTGGTGTCTGATAATTCGTCGGGCCAAACTATGGTCGGGACCGGTGAGAACATTTCTTCGAGATTCCAGCAGTGTCATTGTTTTGTCCCCCGAAATAAAGCAGCCACATTGACGTGGTGGTCAATGTGTGGGGGTGATCCCGCTAGCTACACTAGCTGGAACTTCGTTCCACACAGTGCAACTATGCCAAGGTTACAGGGGAGCAACCAGATCCTGGGCGGCGAGACCCCGTACGATTCGGCAGTAAAGTCGTACTCTCCTCTGAGAAAGGTGTGAGAACAGTAAGTTGTTTCTCCCATGCAACTAGGATTTCCATATTCACGGAAACAGAAATGCGGTCTTCCCCTGAGGAAGGACGGGTTATAAAAGGTCGGCCCTGAAAACCGCACACTCCGATCGCCCGTGTGACAGCTGGTGTATTATTCAAGACGGTCGAAATTCTCTTAAAACCGGAGTCCGGTGCTTCTCAAAAGACACCTGCTGTGCGCAGCCACACTGAAAGTAAGATAGTTATGCCTTACTCTCTGAGCCCTCGGGTTAGGTCAGCTCCCTGCAACCGAGCTGGTCAGACTAGTCATCAGCTCCAGGCAGGCTTCCCACAGAAAACCTAGTGCTGGCTGCCCTATGGATCAGAGAGTCAGAGGCTACGAATAGGGTCCCCGAACAAAACCCTACACTCTCCCACTGTATCTTCAAAGGACATGTGCGTTAGACTACAATACGGGCTTTCTAATTGTTTTGTTGTATGGTTGTGAGAATTGCCCTATTCGAGCAACGTAAATGAGACGTTTTCAGGTGTTTGACAACTGGTTTCAGAACAATAGCTCGTGTGGGTTGGTACTGGTTAGTCCGTAACGAGGAAAGTAGAAAGCGAGTTTACAAATGTGCAACGGAAACTTCCATTGGAAAATATGTCCAGCACCAGAAGCTGCGTTGGTTAAGCCATGTATTGCGTACGCCGAAGGGTGCTGGAGAGCGCTGTTTTTGGTGCCCAGTTTAGCGTAGCAGAAGCAGAGAGGTGGCTAACCCTTGACCAGGCAGAGGGGTACGAAAGAGATTACATAACGTTTGGGTGCTACTCGCCTACCAGGATGGGGACTGAGTGATCTTCACTGCACCTGGTTGGAGACGCTGCAGGATATGGTTTATAATCGATATCGGCGGCGTTCTTTTTGTTTCCATCCAGATTGTCTGAATGGGTACCTACGGGTGTAAGCACCTCGTAGGCTGGCATTGAGTACCTTGCCCGCCCACCGTTATTCTGTGCTCCTTGGAACCACATCGGAGCGGTCGATTCGGTGCTGGTCGAACGGACAACGGAGAGCTTCAAAAAAGGTGCGCGAAAACCACCGTGGCATTAGCCTAGTAGCTGCAACCTCAAGTGTGCTCTCTGGTCTGAACACGGAGAGACAGATCCGTGAAAACCAAGCTTGGTTCCGTCCTGCAAGAGGATTCATCACAGTTTCACACTCCGTCAGATTCTGGAACAGCGACACTGCATCTAGCAACCAACAATGATGGTCTTCCTCGACTAGAAATATGCCTCTAACTCTGTGAACCGTAAGGCACTATGGCAGTGTCCATGGAGCAAAGGTGTCCCCCATAAATTCTTGACACGTAGACGGGTAAAGGTCTACAGGAAGCCCCCGCTTGAGTTCAGTACAAGTGGTTTCAGGCAATGCTGCCTTCTTCCACTTTTCCGGCATGATTAAGGAACACTCACTCCCAGCCTCTAATACCGATGAGTTCGAAACGCTCCCAGGGCATCCGTTCACAGATAGCAAGTACGCAGACGCCATAGCTCTTCCTAGGTTTGACGTCACCGTAATATAGACCACGTTCAATAATCCGAATGTCTTGCCTCACGGTTTGACGCCGCGCTCCTGCAAAGTGCAGTGTGCAGTTACAAGACCGGGTAGGCTCAAACCCTAACCTCGTGTTTGCTCATGAGCTGATTGAGGTAGTAGACGAATTTGTCTACCTGGGCAGCTGTGTCAGTCTCGGTGGTCTTGCGAAAGGTATTCCGATCCGGATTAAGAACGCCAGAAAGGGGTTCCGTGAAGCCGACTTACTTGTGGCGTAGGCGTGGCATGAGCTTACCTGTTGCAGTGCGCTCCATATTAATATACGGGTCAGAAACCTGGTCGTTGCGCACTGACGACGTCAAAAAGCTTTGTGTTTGACCATCGATGTCCTCAGAGCATTGTCCGATTCAGGTGGGAATACCGGCTCAATAATTCTAAAGTAAGTCTAATGGTATACGGAAGAAATAACTCGCCCACGATACATTTATCGATCACACTCCATAGGTTGCGCCGGCTTGGCCACAAGCTCCGTATGCCAGTCGACAAACTTCCTCGAAGGGCGATTTTCGTACAACCTTGTGAAGGGTGGAGATGACCCAGGAGAGATCAATGATTTGACGACGAAGCATGCCATTTTCAGCAAACTCAACTTCACTGGCCGGTGCCGTCCTCCTGAATGGGGACCCTGAGACGGGATGCATCACTTGTCTGGCTTGTAGTGTCTGTAATCCGTTGTCACATTTACCACTCTTCCTGAACTTGAACTACACTTTGTAATTGTCGTTCACATTGTATTATGACGTTTGTTTTAATGTTACGAATACACAACTTTC